GTTGTTTGGCGGGTCTGGGCTGGGGATTCGAACCCGCCACCTTAGGTGTACGTGGCTGGCGCCTTAGCCGGTTGAGCTATAGGCGCCGAGCCAGGAGCTGCTTCTTATGCCAAGTCCATCTCACTTTCTCCAAGTTCTTTCTCACCTATTTCCTGGCACCTGACTTTGCCAGGTCTCAGCAATCCCCTGTCCCAGGCGAATACTTTCTGTAAAGGGCTAGATAGTCCATATTTTAGGCTTTCCTGGTCTCTGTTGCAACTGCTGTTCAGCTCTTCCTTTGTAGTGTGGAAGCAGCCACAGACAGTATGTAAACTGGCAGGCGTGGTTATGTCCTAGGAAAAGTACAGACACACAAGTGGCATGGCGGCCCCTCAAATTCACTAGCTCTACCCCGGTCTTCCCCCCTCAGCTGTCCTGAATGTCCATCCTCTGCCTTCCTTCTGTCCCTCCTCCATGGCCATCTCTCTCCCTCTACACAGTTTAACTTTAAGGGCTTAAAGTAGGAGAGAGGACGGGCAGAGCCTGCACTGGGATGTAGTTCACATTCAGCCGTGAAATCTCACAGCCTCCACCATCACAGCCCTAGAAGGACTCGGTAAGGCATCTCCTACTAAAAGCAAATGGGAACCTAGTTAGTAAATGACCAAATGGTTCTGGTGACATGTGGACTGAAAAGTAGAGTGCACCTCTGAGAGTTTCCGCAGAGGACATAAACATTTGTGCAGAGAAAACACTTTCTCCCAAGAAATCATTGAATGTGAGTGATGCATAATTCTGAAAAATGTCGGTGGTGGGGAAGCCTCAGGGAGTGTCAACAGGAACTGCATGATGTTGGTGTGGTCAAAGGGTCATAAGTAAACTTAGGATCAATCTGCAGAAAGCGTGCTGTCACGTGGAGGTGCTGACTGGGAAGAGCCAAGGGAAAAATGGTCTGAGAGGTGTGACCATGGCAGATGGGCCGATCTGTGCACAGGAACAAAAAGCTGGAGGGACCACACCTGTAAGGCAGGCAATGACAATGCACAATGGTTTAGTGCTCATTTCCTGTGAGCATCCTATTGCACTAGGAAGCTCTAATGTTGATTATTATTTCATTTAATCCTCACAACCACCTGAGGAAGGGGCTACTATTAACACACCCATTTTATGGGTGAGGAAATGGAGGCAAAGAGGAGACAGGGAACGTGCCCAGGCTTGCACACTGGTAAGTGTGGAAGGCTGGAGTGGGGTGTGAGTTCAGAGGTGTGACCATTGCACCACTCCCTGTAACTCCCCACTAACTGCTGTGCTTGGGTCTGGATAGAGTCTATGGGTGACTTTTGTTTTTAATGGCTAGGTGTTTCCCAGATTTTAATGAATGGATCTTACCTTCAAAAGGAGAATCATAGGCTGGACATTGTGGCTCATGCCTGTAATCCTAGCACTCTGGGAAGCTGAGGCAGGTGGATCACCTGAGCTTAAGAGTTTGAGACCAGCCTGAGCAAGAGCGAGACCCCATCTCTACTAGAAATAGAAAAACTAGCCAGGTGTTGTTGCAGGCTGTGATAGAACAGCACTCTACCAGGGAAACAGAATGAGACTCTGTCTCAAAAACAAAACAAAGCAAAACAACAACAACAATGGGAATAAACATTAGAAACATTAGGAAATGGCCCCCAGGAGTCTGGACAGAAGACTGAGGTGGCTTCCTTCTCACCCAGCCAGGCTAAGTAGGGCAGGAGCCATAGTTGTGCCCCCTTACCTTTTATTTTGTTTTTTAATTTTTTTGAGAGCCTCACTCTGTCACCCTGGGTAGAGTGCTGAGGCATCGCAGCTCACAGCGACCTCAAACTCTTGGGCTGAAGTGATTCTCTTGCCTCAGCCTCCCAAGTAGCTGGGACTCCAGGTGCCCACCACAACGCCCCGCTAGTTTTTCAACTTCTAAGCTCAGGCGATCCATCAGCCTTGGTCTCTTAGAGTGCTAGGACTAGAGGTGTGAGCCACCGCACCCTCCTACCTTTTAAAATTGAAGTAGAATTCACATAAAATTTACCGTTATTGAGACAAGAGTCTCATTCCGTTGCCCAGGCTAGAGTACAGAGGTGTCAGCCTAGCTTATAGCAACCTCAAGTTCCTGGGCTCAATGATACTCCAGCCTCAGCCTCCTGAGCATGTGAGTCTACATGTGCTCACCACAATGCCCACCTAACTTTTCTATTTTTAGTAGAGATGGGGTCTCACTCTTGCTCAGGTTGGTCTTGGACTCCTGAGTTCAAGCAATCCACCTGCCTTGGCCTCCCAGAGTGCTAGGATTATAGGAATGTGCCACCGAACTAGCCCCTGTTAACCGTTTTAAAGCGACTGATTCAGCAGCATTTTAGTACATTGCAACCACTGCCTCTCTAATCCTAGGACATGTTTGTTGCACTAAAAGATGACCCATACCCGTGAGCCGTCACTTCTTACTCCCCTTCCCCCAGAAGCCACCAATCTGCTTTCTGTCCCTATAGATTTGCCTCTTCGGGATATTTCATAAAACAGAATCATACACTATGTGGCCCTTCCTGTCTGGTTTCTTTCACTTAACGTTTTTAGAGCTGAGCCACATGTAGTGTGCCAATGTTTCCTTCCTTTTTTAGAGACAGAGTCTTACTTTGTCGCCCTCGGTAGAGGGCCTTGGCGTCACAGCCTCCAGTTCTTGGGCTTACGTGATTCTCTTGCCTTAGCCTCCCCAGTAGCTGGGACTACAGGTGCCTACCACAATGCCTGGCTGTTTTTTTAAATTGCAGTTTGGCTGGGGTTGGGTTCAAACCCACCACCCTTGGTATATGGGGCAAGTGCCCCACGCACTGAGCCACAGGTGCTGCCCCTTCCTTCCTTTTTAAGGCACAGTAATATTCCACTGTGTGCCTAGCCCACATTTTGCTTATCCACATAGCCCCTGAAGGACAACTGGGTTGTTTCCACTTTTGGCTATAGTGAATAGGACTTCCATAACAATTTGCATACAAATCTTCGAGTCCCTGTTTTCAATTCTCTTGGACAATTTTTCCAGTTCACCTAGAAGCAGAGTTGCTGGGTCCTATGTTTGTTTGAGAAATTACCAGACTGTTTTCCACCGTACACCTCTCCTCTCCTTTTTGCAATCAAACACTTTAGTCATTTCAAAACGACCCTCCCGTGGCACTGGAGTCTCAGATCACAGGACAGAGTTGAGGGGGAGCAGTAGAGAGTGTAGGATGGCAACCCTATGCAGAAGCCCCTAAAACTTGGTGGGCAAGGTTCTGGGATCTGAATGCCTGGGTCTGAATTCTGGCTTTCCCATGCATGGGTATGGGTGGCAGCAAGATTTCCGATGTTCCCCTCCTATACCCTGGGACCTGTGAATAAATTACTTTTTATGCAAAAGGGATTTTGTTACCAAGGATGTTGAGATGGGGAGATTATTATCTGGGAGCGCCCTAAATGTAATCACAGGGGTCCTTCAGAATGGGGGGGGGGGTTGTGCAGGGAAGCAGAGGGCTGCACATGGACCAAGGCCTCTAAATGTGGAAAAGGCAAGGAATGGATTCTCCCCTAGAACCTTCGGAACAACCTTTTTAGACTCTGACCTCCCAACTGTAAGGTAACAATTGTGTGTTGTTTGAAGACACTGAGTTTATGGTAGCGTGTTACAGCAGCAAAGGGGAATGAACACATCAGGTGGGTGACTTTGGGCTAATCTATGCTTAACTTCTCTAGACTCAGTTTTCTCATCCTTCAAATGGAAGGAGCGTTAACATTACAATGAAGAATACATTTGGTAATGAATGCACCATGCCAGGGACAGAGCCCAGTGTTAGCCAATTTTTACTTCCCTTGCTAGATGGTAAGTGCCACACAAACAAGAAAGGGTGTCTACCAGGTTTGCAGCCCTGCCTCCAAGCTGAGCAGACTCTGGCCCCTTTGAGCTCTGAGGCAGAGAGAGAGGACTGCCTCTGCTAGGGAGGACCAGTGGCCTAGGACCCATGTTCTGGGGAAGGAGCTCATTTGATAGGTAGTAAAATGTAAGAACAATAAAGATTCTTAGGACAGCCACCTCTGTTGTATCCATGGGTTCTGCAACTGTGGATTCAATCAACCATTAAAAGAAAATATCTAGGATAAAAAATTGCTTCTGTGCTGAACACATGTGCAGACTTTTTTCTTGTCATTATTCCCTAAGGGTGCAGTGTTATTTACTCAGCATTTACATTGTATTAGGTAGTACAAGCAGTTTAGACAAGATCTAACTACGCCCGAGGGTATGTATAGGTTACATGCTAATACTGTGCCAAGAAACTTGAGCATCTGCGGATTTTGGTATCCTCGCTGGGAGGTGGGTGGGGGGTGTCCTGAGACCAATCCCCCCTCGGATGATGCTGAAGGATGGCTGTATGACACCAGGCACATTTCCCCCCTTTCACAAAGTCAACAGTGGCGATTGCCCAGTGTTCCAGGCTGCTTGTCTGGTACACTGAGAAAAAGTATGAAATCACAAGCATGCAGAAACCACAACCTATGGCCCTCCTCCCTGGTCTCTGCAGTGCTCAAGCCTTGCCTCAGCTGTTGGCAGGCAGGAGGCGCACCTACTGGGGCTGGCCTTTTCCCGAGCCAGCGCTGGCCCTGGGGAGGGTGGGGCTGGTTGTCAACGCCTCAGGTGGTAGGCTCTGGATCCGGAAGCAGGAAGCAACAGTACTGCAGGACCTAGGTGGGACC